ACTACCAGTTTTCAGCGACGTTACCGCTCGGCCGCTGGTGGGCTCCTTCGTGGAGGACTTTCTAAGAAAAACTGGCTCATATACATGGGGAAAACTGGTTTAGTGACTTAATCACTCGGGCTCTGAATATGAAGGAAAATTCAAAATAGTTTTAAATACATATTTTTCTGATTTGTGGGATAATGATATTGATAATTTAAGCACTAAATATCAACATTTGCGAAGAAAATTGCAACAAGAGCAAAATAGTAGTTGCTTATCTGCAACAGAAGATTTTTCCTAATCATAATAACATTAGCAGTTGCCACGTGCAAAATTATTTTCTAATCTAAATTATCTAAAAAACTATGTACAAAACAGTACATGAGAAATGGGCTTAAAAGGATTAATTTTGTTGTATATAATTAAAAATACACTTGTAGAAGAAAACGTTTTATTCCACTGTCGACTGATCTCCAGCAGCATAACATGAATGAAATTATTCAGAGGTTATTTCGACATCATGATAGTGGTTGTCCCCTCCCCCAAATTAAATTCTAGATCTGCCACTGCTCTCATGGGCACAGACGAAATGAACAAGCCATGTCAACTGTGACCAGATGCAGATGATTACCCATGCAGATTAAACCCTCAAAGACAGAGAGAAAAATCATACATTCAGTTGTGATTAGTGCCCATCGCCAAGTAAAGCAAATACATAGTACTCATATTGCAAGACCATGCTCACTTATAAAGCTAAAATTTATTAAAAATTTTGCTCATCTTGCAAAGGATTTGTAGACCAAATTACTTGCAATTGAAGGTTTTACACAACACATATACCATCTACCTTATACAAATATACCATCTTGTTGTATACAACGTAACATTGAAGATGATTGGTAGTCAAAGGTAACATTTTCACTTTTAATCAATATTTTTGTCATTTGCAGTGACTTTTTTTAGTGTTTTAGCTAAATCCATTTTACAAACTAACTGTAGGAAAATTACACCAGTTTTTATCATTCCTCAATAAGATAGATAATGAATGTTCTTATTTTTTCCCTACAGCTAATTTTTAACTGCCACAATTACCTGTTGCATTAACTGCTGGCATTTATCTCAGTGTTGAATGTAGCCTGCATTAATGGCAGATGATGAGTCTGCTATGTGGTGTTTTCATGATACAAAATATGGGCTGGTTTTCCTTACGAAGTTCTTCAGAAAGGTAATCTTCAAACCAGAAGCCACAGGCAAAGGAAGATCTAGTGAGCTTTGCCGTAAATAAACAAAACAGTGATGACATTCAAGCAGTATTGCAGAAGTTCAAGAGTTTTATGATTAGGTCATGACGCCATGATTTTATTGCTATTGATTAAAGAGTGTTTACTAAAGTTCCAATCTTGAATGCTCAATATGTCTGAATTATGTAAATTATGTATGTATTCATAAAAATCATATAGTAATAATTAAAATAAAAAATTAAAAAGAGCTAAAAAAATCTAAAAGCTGAATCGGAAGCAAAAACATTTAATGTCTTTCTTTAATTGTCAAAATTAAGATAGTTACGAAAAGAAAAAAGGAAAACAATAGAAAAAGGCCATTAAGGCTATTTCCCACAAATAAGACACGGGAAGCAATAGCTAATCAGAAACAAGTTCAGTGGTGGTATTTGCAGAATGGCTGGAGGCCACAGGAGCTAAACCAACTTCAAACACTTTCTGCATCAGTTTAAGGTATAACATGAATAAAAGATTATGCTGTTTTGCTTACCAATTGACTAATGTATCTTTAGAAAATTATTTCTGATTCAAACTGGACGTCAGTTGAAACTTAATGATTAAAAAGGAGAGTTCTTTAAACAAACATTCAGGCATAGTAATTGCCTCAGCAAATTCTGGGACAAAATATGATTCTTGTATAAAATCATGTCGATTATACTGAAACTGCCGAAATCGCTAAAAAAAGTTCAGAATTTCACGAAGCATGTCAAAAAGAAAATGAAACAGCACTCCCATCTACCCTCTGCATGAGACTAGAACAACAATAAGAATCATAGAAGATTGTACAAAGTGCGAATTAATCACACATTTCCCCTTTCTCTGACAGTGGCTAAGCTTCCAGGCTCATTCCTTCTCCAGCAATTTTCATGTATTTGCATCTTCACTTAGTGTGCATAATGATTTATCCACATTTTCAACTTTACTTTGCTCATTTGATGCAGCGGGTGTCTTCTGTCATTTCAGGTAAAACAAAGCAGCAGCTACTGTGGACAACAGATCAGAGGATGACCTCTCGTTGACTATTCCCCCCTCGTACCTTATCTTGTATTATTTTCATTTGTTTTTTTCTTATTCTCGATCGTACTTTTGTACCAGGTTTATATTTATTCCCGATATGTATTTGGTTGCTTAGTACTTAATTTTCCTGAAACCAGATTTGAACTGCTTGAAGTAATGAACTTTTTTCCACATTCAAATCAGTCTTATAGAATTTCTGTTCTAAAAAACAATGACAGGCTTTGATATTGTCATACTGCCAACTAGTTAACTTATTTTCATAAATTAAAAATAAAATATTTGTATTTAAACAATTTTTTGTGCGAGTTTTAGATTAAGATTCTAAAGTAATAGACTGCATGAGAATATTAATGACACATTTCAGAACTTAAATTATTTGGGTGAAAACTCAACATTCCAGCTGTAACATAATTATAAATCCCACACCAGGTAAATCACATAAGAATATTACTAAATGGCATGTAAGGAGAAAATTAACCTTGAACTACTCTAATTTATTTATTAACCGACCCCTCAAGGCTGGTGGAAAATGATGACAAAAAATTGCAAATTTTAAAATTAAATGTATTTTTATAATGAATATAAAATTTTACTAAATATAAATACAGAAACTGAAGAAATGTATAAAAAGTTAGATTTGTATTTTATGTAGAACTCAATTACAAAATACAAAAACGTGAATCTTTGAATTAAAATAATTTTGTGACTGGAAGTGTATATGTACAGTCAACAATTGCAATAAAAAAAGCTGGTTAAAGACTTTTGAGGACATGGTGTACAATATCATAGAAATTAACTGTAAAATCGAGGTAAAGAATCAATTACACAAATAAAACTATACACTGGAATGCGGTATTGTTTTATAACTTTATGAAAAACTTGTTATTTCAAAAGAAATAAAATTTGTTTTTTAATGAATTTTTCTGATTATCAAAAGAAATTTAGCAGCTAATTTTAGCTGATTTAATTCTTTTTGAATGTATTAGGCAGCTAAATTTCTTCCTCAAACTTCCAACTGTTGCTCAAAGTTGGAAGACCTTTCGCGTTAGAATGTTTGGTTTATTTGATTATGGAAAAGCATACTAGTTAATAGGATAGGCTTCGTATGCTTTCCTTAAACATATATATCGAACTGCAAGCAGTATATCAGCTAGTGTAGATTCATCACTTTCTTCAATGAGACATATGACAACCAGTCTAAAATGGCAAAACAGTTCCTTTCAGTAGTACTGTTCCTGCATTTGTATAATAAACTTGATTCTGTTTATTATAAGAAACTGAACAAAAATTTTTAGTTTCAGATATCTTCTGGAATCTGTCATCATTAGTGGTTGGCCACTAGTACCGTAATTTCGCGCGTATAGTCCGCGGACTATCTGTGTTTAAAATGCGAATTTTTGAAGCTGCGGACTATCCACCAGTGCAGATAATACGCTGGTTGTTCACAGTTAAAATTGTTGAAATTTAAAAAACACGCTGTCATGAACTGCCGATGATCAAATATAAAAAAAGCGCAAGATTCCAAGTATCCTTCGCACTGCTTTAGCACAACTGCCGGGAGGGGGAAAAGTAGTTGATGCGTCAGCTCGGTTTTTAGGAGCCATAGTAGCAAAGTACCTGGAGTTACGGAAAAAAAGCGTGATTCGTTTACTTATAGAGTGGTTTGGCAACACCGAGTGAGTGGGGTCGAAGGTCATATTTCATTACCACTTATCACGCAGGATAGCACATTGCACAGTATTTTGTTTTCGTATTTTGTCTTTCATCTTCGATAACGTTGATGAAATATCGCCGGAGTTTTACTGCTGAGTTTAAACTCAAGGTAGTTGAGAAAACTGAAAAAGATGGAAATAGAGAAGCGGGCCGTTGTTGGTTTAATCCTAGTATCCGGTGCACATGGGATTTGACTACTTTTGGCGACTTTATGATGAGCAGTAAAAACGGGACATATACGATGAGTAGTTAATGGGTCATTCAAAGAAAATATATAGTTAAACATAGTATATACTATGTATATAGTATATATACTATGCATGTATAGTACATATATAGACGTTCTTTGGATCATTTTTGGTGTTGGCGATAATTTTCAAAGTCGCGCCAAGGCTGCACCGTATACTAGGATTTTACTCTGTTATTTTGAAGTGGACAAGAAAGCGGTGAGAAATTTGCGCAAACAAAAGGATGTGTTAAAAAAGCATGGGAATATTGCTGTATTAAAAAAACGTAATTTCGGACGTATAGTCCGCGGACTATCCGGTGGTGCGGACTATCTGACAATTTAAAAAAATTTTTTTTTTATATAAAATCGTGTCTGCGAACTATACGATGGTGCGGACTATACGTGCGAAATTACGGTAAATATACTCATAGAATGACCAAAAAATCATTTGGGATGTTCTATATTTTTTTAAAAACATTACTGGAATCTCTAATTATTCTGATTTTGATAATTTAGAAATTTCCTCCTATTTAAGATGAATTTTAATGTCTAAAAACTTATCAACAAATAGAGATATTTAAATTCTTCTAAAGAGAGTATTTCATAGTTCACTATTTTTGTATATTGTGATCACTTTACTACATTTAAAAATGAAACAATAAAAAAATAGTTTAAAAAAGATGTAAATGATTACTTCTACGTCTGAGATATTTTTCATCATTGTTTCATTCAAGTGGTTTTTATTATAATATTTGAGACATGACACAATAAAATACAGCTTGTATTAAAGGAAAGTCAGTTTAATAAATATATTTTTTCGTTCATATACATGACCAGCATAATATTTCAACTTTTCTTACAAAATGTAAGTCTGATCAAAATTTTTGTTAAGTTCAATAAAAATATCTTCCACTAACTCTCTCTTATATTTTTTCAAATAAATTTTAAAACCTATTTATTACCAAATAGTATGAACACAAAGGCAGATACAGTAATATTTTAGAGCATAAATGCTCTTTCATCCTTTTAAAAATCTTTTAAAAACTGAAGGTTGAAAAACATCAAAACAGCATTGGTTCATTTAAATTAAGGCACAGCATGCAATGGCTATCTGTAAGGACAAAAATGCCCTCATAAAACACTTTCTAAAAGATTGTAATCATGTTACACATGGTGAAGATCACAGACAGGATTTTCATTTATTTTTAGAATTTAAATGAAGTGAGAACAAGTGCAAAGTGATTAAAATAATTATCAATATAGTAATAAAATACAAAAAAAAAAAAAAAAAAAAAAAAAAAAAGAAACAGCAATAAAATTTTGTCATAAGAATTTTCAAAGCTCATTGAAAAGTATTTACAATTTTAATATTAGCTAGAACAAATAAGATATATATAAAAATACACATATACATCAAACTCAAAGTATAAAAAGACTTCAAAATTCTTGGTCGGCAATTAAGTCCCAGTTAAATACTCGGAAGTTCTCAGATGCACATATGCATTACTTTTGCAAGAACATAAATAAAACAATTGTCTTTAGCATAAACAAATGGTTTATAAAATACATAAATTACTGATCGCAAAAAGAATTTCAGTACTGTATAACTGTTTACATGTTAAGCATAAGACTTATCCAGTATTCAAGTCAGAGTGTAGTATGACCACAGAAAATTTCTTTACTGTAATAAAATATGCAGCTTAACAACACATGCCTTTATTTACTAAATAAGATTTCTTAAAGCAAAATATTTTTTATAAGACTCACAATGACTATCTTTACTTAGCTTTTTAGGTTTTGCAGTTACAAAGTTAGATAAATCACAAAGAATACCCCCCCCCAAATTCTACCTATTTGGCTGCCAAGAAATTAATCTAACTATAAATGCTTATTTAAGATCAGTGACCCACTACTTGAAATAAGATCATATATTATATCATAGATAACATTCTTTGGAAACATGCATGTTATGTAATAAGCATAACACCTATGAGCACCAATATAATACGAAGCACAAAGAGCAATCTAAAGCAGTTAAAATAACTATGATTTTAGTGTATTAGTGATTCTACCCCGAATAAAATGAATCCAACCAGAATGAGGTTCTACTTATTATTATTTATTATTTTTGCATTTTCATAACAAGTTACATGCTCTTTGGTATCATCAATACATTATAAGAAGTGAATTTGTTTGGCATTTTTTATTTCAGTATTTGTTTTAATTTACAGAATCTGATATAATTAACAAAAGTGATTGCATTTTGAACTTTTGACTCGCATTAATGGATAGTTGAATTTCAGTGCACTTTGTTGAAGATAAAGTTAACATTATATATGAGGAATATTTAGTCTTAGTAAGCCACTAGTGCCTGCTAGTAACTATCAGCACAAGAAAATCACCGATTTTTTTATATCACAGTCCCAGTCTATTTGATTCCAGACAACATACACACAATCAACCCCCCTTTTTGCTGATAATTTGGGAAAATTTTAAATATAAATTTCTTGATAATGCTGCCTTCAAAATACTTTAAAGAAAATAATTGGTGTGAAACTTGCAATGCTTTAAGTTTTCTGTTAGAAACCATTAACATACTAAGTACAGAAGAAACGCATGAAGTTACACCATCAAGATCAAATATTTAGTGTTCTACACCAAATAGTTAGTGTTCTAGCCCAAAGTTAAAGTAGCTATCAATTGCTCAGTGTCATGTCACCCTTTGAGCAAAGCTATCTGGGTTTTTTGATAAAAAAACAGATTCCTTTCACGCCACAACCATCTACATTTCTCATTCTCTTATCTTGCTGTTCTCACTTATCAACATGGTTCCACAGCATCAGTATTTTCAGAAATTCAATTGATGTGATGGTCAATCTATGGTATACATTAAAAATGGCATTCTTCCAATAATTCCAGGAATGTCAGAAGCAATGGAGCAAGTGTATGTATTGTGATATACTATTTGAAGGTTCCTATGTAACAATTGGTAACATTTCAAACAGAATTTCCCTACATTTTCCATGAGCTTTTTGAAGACAGGATTGTATATTTTATTCTTATCTCCAAATATCTGTTTCAAGCTTATTCATAAATTTAATCTCATAACAGTCATGATTACAGAAGTAAGAAAGGTAATCTATACAAACCAGTGTTATGATATCACTTCTAGGTTAATTAAGAGAAACAATGATCTGTATATTTTGTCTCCATTCTACATTGCAATTCAGTGCTTAGAAAATGTATCACTACTATTTTTATAAACCTAAATTTCAAAATTACATTCATTTATCAAAAGGGCAGCCAGTCATTCATCATTCTGAAAGTAGAATGAATTTTATTTCATACAAGATGGATGTATTATATTTTGGCTTAATGTTTATTTAGTTATGGCAAAGCATTCGAGTACTACCTAGGAACAGGGATGCCTTCATGGAGGACTTTCTAAGAGAAACTGGCTTGTATACACATTACACATGGGGAAAACCACAAAAATGTTCATGCTGCCAGCCCATTCATCAAGTTATGAGCCCTGGACAAAACTAATGTTCAGTGACTTTACCGCACGGCCACTGTTGGACCAAAAGTATTACAGAGTTGTTCACATATTTTTTGTCATAATTCAAAGATGCTTCTTAAAAAGCACTGCAAGTAAGAAATTTGAAGAAGTTAATTTAGCTTTCCAAACAAACTTTCAAGCAAAATACAATCTCTGTTTTTTTTTAACCCTCTGAGCATTATGACTGGCTTTATATGGTCATCAGAAGTTTTGCTACTTGGCATATATTAGCTTATTAAATATATTTTGCTTTCTTACTTTCTTTAATAATGTAAATATCATTTTAATGAATGTAAGTTTACGAAAATACAGACTAAAATAAGTAATTATAAAAACTCAATTAATAAATGCTGTTTAAATACAAGTCTTCATGATGGATCCAAAATCTTGTGCCGCTCAGAGGGTTAATCACAGTAGTGAACAGAAATATGATTTATCACCTCATCTGTTCAATACGTTAAGAACTAAAGCAGTGTTGAAAACGGAAAATAATCAAACTGCAAATTTAGTGGATTTTTCACCAGAATGTTGCTTCATATTTTACTTGCAAAAGCTAAAGAACATACTTAAAAAATAGTATAAAGAAAAACAAATGCTTTCTTTAAATTCACTAAACACAAGGAAATAAGTCAACAGTAGCTACATTACACATCAAACATATGATGAAAATAACATTTTGTAATGAGACATAATTCATGGATTTAGCATTTTGGGAAAGATACAAGAGTTTTCCTGTCAAAAAGTTCAGATCAATGATAATATGGAAAAATAATTTAGAAAACAGATTTCTCTTTCTTTGTTTTAAAACTGGACAAAATAAAATAGAAATCAGATGGGCTCATTAATACAGATGATAATTTGGTTAGGAACTCAGGTTCCTGTATAAAATTTTTATTAACAGAATAAGAATCACTTGATAAATTTTGCAGAGAAATACTTTCAAACCACTTTGAAATATCAAGACTACTTTCCATCGCATCTTTGACCAAAGCATTACCTTCTGTAGTATTTCCGATAGTTATGAGTTCATGCACAGACATGCTCATCTTTTTTAAAAGTGATATACAACAAGCTTCTTTGAACTTCTTTTTCTTTGTTAATGACTTTATATCTTCAATATCTTCAACCTAAATAGCATAACAAGTTAATAAAAGAAAAGATTATAAAATAATTCAGTATAGCCACTTTAGCAGCAAAACAGAAAATAATCACAACAAAAATTTTCCAGATTTGGCATAAGCAGGGCTGTGAAGTCGGAGTCATGGAGTCAGGTAGATTTTGAGGTAGAAAGAGTCGGAGCTGGAGTCGCTAAAAACAGGTCGATCCCAGCTTTTGTTGGACAGTTTGAATATGAAATGAAATTAAAATGAATTGAAAAAAATTAATGACAGGCTGAGTTATTTTTATTTATGGATTGTATACATTAATAGATAGTTATTTTCTATTTTATTGACATATTAATAAATAAATATAAGGGAGGAAGATGGATGTGATAATTGCCATTAGTGATTAAACTGATTCATTTAGTTACAAATCTCACTGGTAAATTTAGGTAAGCAGCAATAGCAGCAAATCTTAAAATTGATGCCATTCTTAGGAAGCAAGCAGGAAAAGGAGCAATTATTGATCAGGCAACACGATAAGGAAGTACATATTTGATGATAAAGAGGTTTTTAGAATTAAGAACATTTTTAGGAGATGTAGATAACCCTAATGTTTCACTAACAGAAAGACTGTGGAATGATCTTGCAGAATTGGAAACACTTCTTTCTATACTATATGTAGCCACAAAAAAAGCTGCAATCTGAAGAATTGACAGGAGGCAAGAATGGGATGTTTGATCTTTCTGAAATGGAGGGTTTATTGCAGAAGAAATATATCGGAGTCATTAAAATTCCAGGAATCAGAGTCGGTTATTTTTCCTATTGACTCCACAGCCCTGGGCATAAGTACCTGTTTCCCCAATTATAAAATCCATAATCTATTAAAATGTGTAAGTTACTAAAAAAAAAGTACAAGCTACTCAACTATAAACAAAAATACTTCTGTATTTACAAGAGTAGGAAAAAATTCTTTTCAGAAGTTATTAAATTTGTACTCTTCATACTATATACTACTGTATATGCAGCTTTAAAGAAATTATGCTCAACAGTTTTTAGATATATTTAGTCTCAAGAGTTAATAAAAAGCTTACCTCAAAATTAATAGCCTTTAAAACATTTTCAAGATATTTAGAATCAAATGTTTTAAAAGGACATCCACCTTCATTAACACAAATACTTTGGTGAGACTGAAGTGCATTGCAACTATGAGCTTTATAATTTTTTCCAGATCCCCTCTTTCCATAAAGATGTTCTATACTATATATGTATCGAGTTTTGCTATCTCTCCAGGAGTGACTGCATATGCTGCCTTTACCCTCACAATTATCACTAGGCAGAGAATATTCTTTCATAAACAAAGTCACTACTTCATGACATGGCATACCAATTTCTTTCAAGAAAAGGGTATATTGAATCTGTGAAGGCAAAATTTATGAAAAATAATCAATACATATGATTAAACAATAAAATTTTAATGAAATAAAAAATAATTATAACTTAATAAACTTTACACAACTTCATATATGAAGAGACCATATTGCGGATTGGTACTCAAACAAAACACATAATACAGTCGTAATGAAGACAACAACAACAAAAAAAAAAAAAAAAAAAAAAAAAAAAAAAAAAAAAAGGCCTTACTTTAACAAACACAAAGAATTTTGTTATAACAACTCTTTAGGTAATGGTGCTCAAACAAAATATGCAAGTCATAATGAAGGAAACAACACTTTACTTAAATGAAAACAAAAGAATTTATGAAATAAAACTGTGGATATTGATACTCAAAACAAAACATGCAATACAGTTTTTTTTAATAAAGGAAAAGAAAAGCCTGACCGAAATGAACACAACAGAATTTGTGTTATACTTTAAAATTACAGGCATGTACCTCAAGTAAGAGGAGATATAAGAATGAATTTTCAAAAATAAAATGCTATAATTTATTTTACTTAATATGATTTTTGCAGAAATAATCTTATTTGAAGTGTCAATCTCATATTGACTACTTCAAATAAACCCTAGATCTAAAAAATGAAACAAAACTTAAAGAATAAAAGAATGATTTAGGAAAACTATAAATATATATGAAAAGACATAAAAAAAGAGATGTAGAAGTTTATCTGGAAAGAAAGTATCCCCCCCCCCCCGAAAAAAATAAACTTTCTTCCAGATTTTGGCCTTTATAGCATTACTTGGTAAGACAATATTTGCCAGTAGTGTGTGCCAAAGGCTTCACATGAAATAAATGTTTGCGTGAGTGTCCAGTGTTTGTATTCCATTAACCACCTACTCCAGGCTGGCAAGATTAAAGTGATATCAACACCTTAATTGCACAGACTGTCTCAGAATGGTACAACATCCTATTTGTGGACCAGTCCTGATTTGCACTGGAATCAGATGATAAGCATGCAAGGGTCCAGAGGGACATACAAAATGAGGCATAAAATTATGTATTTAGAGGTGGCAGCATGGTGTGGGCTCGAATTTCAATGGCATATCAAACCTAGCTACACATCTTTAAAGATGGTTCTGTGAAGTTTGAGCATTATTGGGATGAATACCTACATCCCACTATGACTATGCTGCAGTAGTTGGTCCTGAGTACCACCTTATGAATAATAATGCCCATACCCATTAAGTCAACATCATTAATGAATAATTGGAGAGTGAGAGCGCTTTTTGTATGAAATGACCATCATATTCCCTCGACCTTAACCCCATTGCAAATTTTTGAGATACCCTCAGGCGGCTCTCTGTGCACATTTACCTTTCTCAGTCAGTCTCATACACTCAAAAATTACCGAAAAGGAGAAATTATTTTTATGGTTGATCACCTCATTGAAAGCATGAGAAATCAATGTAAAGTTTGCATGAAGGTCTATAGTGGTCACATACCTTAATTACATATACCTGTTAAATTTGTCTGATTCGTTTGATTTTAGCTTTAAACATCAATATGTTATTGACTCAAACGTGACATCACATAATTTTCAAAAACTAAAATACTGTTTTAATCTTTGCACATAATCTTTGTTTCCTTTCATGATAAACACATTTGCTGGCATTTGGTGCTTTGCATTTCCATTTTTGTTGATTTTCCCATCATATGCTTAACTTTAAGATGGTAGTGGAGAACAACTGCTGCTTTTAACAACTTGCGCTAAAAAGACGTGCCACGCACTTCGAGATGCTTTTGTCTCAAACCGCAAGCGACGTGAACACCACGTCAATAGGCATTTATCGCAAAACTGAAAATAACGTGGTGCACACGTCACCTAACAACGAGATTGTTTATTTCTCTAGTTACAGCTCTGGATTGCACTCGCAGACGCGGAACAGCGTAAATGAGACACTTTACCGTTGTTATATTGTAGCGCATGGTACCGCAACCATGAAGTTAAATCGTAGCGCAAGTGGTTAAGGAAAACCTACACAGATAATAAGCAACCACTAACAAACCTAAAGAACAGACGATTTGATGGAAAAGAATATGAGCATACATTGCAAATCTGGGAAAACTATTCAGTGTTGATATCATCCCACTAATTTAATAAATATTCATTAAATTAAATGAACAAATTAGATTATTCTGCTCATTTGGAATTATATAATAACCTATAGTCATTATGTTTCTTTGAAGCAGGAGATGTTAAAAATATGCAGTGCCCTCGCCAGGACTCGAAACATAGAGTCCTGGTAAAGTAAATACGTATTGAGTATGCTTCCAATTAAACTACAAAGGTATATAGAAAGGAGGGAGAAAATACCTGATATACTTCTCCTTTTGAAGGATGGCAGGGAATCAGGAGACCCAATCGCCATATCCTGCTGGTGACAAATTATCATCCATCACCTTTTTAGTTCGGGCCCTTTTTAGAGTCATTAGGTTTTTTTGAAACAGGAAATGTGAAAAATGTGCAGTGCCCTCTTTGGGACTCGAAACCTAGACCTCTCAAATATGCATAAAATCATGCTTAAAATTACACCATGAATGCAAATGGAAAGGAGGGAGAAAATACCATATGAACCAAACAAAAAATAATCATTGTATGAAGATGATTAAGAAAAGTGGTTTAAAAAATTAATTGCTGATACACTTTTTTCTAATGCACAAAAATTACTATAGCAGTTTGCCTGTTTTTTTTTTCTAGAAAATTTAGCACTTTTTTCTAAAAGGAATGCCTTCTTTATTTTTCTTACCCTGCCAAAAAAAAACCCAGTTTTATGCATGAAAATACCAGGAGCTTTAGGATGATTCATTCCCTACACCTAAACAAGCATAATTAGAAGAAATGAAACTTCAGAAGATTAAAAAAAAGCATAATGTATAATAAAAGTATGCCAATATTTTTGTTCTAAGGACAAAGTTTTATTCAACTACTCATTTAAAATTTATATTTAGCATAAATTAAAATAAAAATGGGCAATTTTTTTTTTTTTTGCAAATTTTCATTTGCTTTTACTTTTATTTATTTTTATGTACTTTTCCTTTATTTTTATGTAGAAGACACTAAAAATGATTGAATGATAATTAGTTATAGCTATGCAGCAGATTTCAATCAGTTTAATTGCAGCTGAAAACCAGTATAAAGGGATTTTATTTCTTCTACATCTGTTCACGAAACTCAAAGAATTAAAAACAAATTTGCGTACCAGAGAAAATGTTTGAAATTTCAGCATCAATATATTCTTTGTTGTAACACTACCTTTAAGCCCAGTACAATTTTAATATTAATATATTCACAAAATCAGTTTTTTAAATGAGCATACATTTGATGCATTTCACTCTTACCAACAGTTTTGGCCAAAGAACTCATGGAACTACGGTCATATGATAGCCATCATTTTTTCCTCTATGGTCAAATCAAGATAATATGACACTAGAAATATAATGTGCAAATGAGAACCTGAGCACAAAACAGTCAGCAACAACTATTAAAATATTGGTACACTTCTGTTATCGGGACTAGATTCAGAAATGTGTGTATGTGTGTACATATGTATATCCTGGAGCATATAATTAGCCATAAAATTTGATGGAATGTTTTGGTTTGATAAATATGCCAAACAATAAGGTGGCCGGCTATGAAACCAAATTATTGATCATACAGATTTATGTTAACCCTTTGAGGTTCGGTGCATAAAAAAAATTTTTTTTGGAAAAAAATAACTTTACACATAGGTAACTAGCCCCTAAAACAATGTTATTTCATGCCCCCCCCAAAAAAACCACACAGGTAAACTTTTAAGGTAATTCATGACATAATGGGATAACGCTTGTCCCACCGCTCACCTAGAGCAGTAAAACGGCATCTTTGCCACAGCGTAAATTCTCCTAACATGCTTAGCAACAAAATGAAAATGCAAGATATAAAAAACGTTTTTGAATAATTACCTAGAAAATATCGATCATATTCACAAAATAAAAAATATTTATTTTCAAAAAATTTACATAATAAAAAAATCACTCTCTGTACAACTTTTTATATATTTTTCAATGATTTCATAATAGATTTGAAACAGAGAAGATTTTCACTCCAGTACTTTATTTGCTACAGGTTTGAAAAGGAAGAAATTTAGAAAACCGTCATGATTTACATTTCACCTCTCTTTCCTCTGCTTAGGATATTTTTCTATGGTGAATCACATTTACATATCCATTCAGTATTCAATGACATTTCATGTGACAGAGTTATATTTTCAATTCTTTCGAAAAAAATACTAAATATTTTTCATGTTTTAACATTATTGCAATTTATTAAAAAATATAAATCTGCATTACAACATATAAAATTAACATGATACTTGAATTTAAAAATATTTGAACGATGCTGCCATCTAGTAGCAGCAGTTTCTACATACACGGTGAGACGTATTTGGTTTCACCTTTTAATTTCAACCATTCTTAATTAATATATATGAATTCAAATAATATTTTTTTTTGTAGTAAAGGAAACTTTCACATAAAAATATTCATTTTAACACCCAAAGTTGTTGTTCAGACGATTTAAATTGCATTAGAAATAAATAAATTAATTAAAAAAAAAACTGCTTCAAAATTAGACCTGCAAAGAATTTTTATTTTACATTATTTCTATGAATGAATACTAGTGCTGTCATCTGTTATACATTTAGAGAACTAAAAGGCGTAATTGTATGTACTTTAAATGGAATTTTGCAGCTTTCATCTGAGAGATAAAAACTGGTAAAAAAAGGTGTGGCGTTCCACCACCCGTCAAAGGGTTAATAAATGACTGTTCAACATTGATTATGTTTTATTTAGCATCAAAAGTGAAATTAAAAATTAGGACTTTCCATATTCTTTATTAGGAAAAAATGTCTACTGCATATGTGCAAAGTATTAAGCATATACGCCTCTCAGAATCTAATTCTTTCTTCCTTTCCCCTCAAATTTTTAAAAACAAATTGCTGGTGGTCAGAAAGTCCAGATGTTAGATCATTCTGGATATTGGACATCTGAATTTCAGACTTTGTACTGTATTACATAAAATTTCACACTTTTGTTTATCTGCAATATGATATTGAAAACACAACTAAGAATATCTCTCTTAAAACATTTTCGTGTCTGACCCAAAACATAGGTCAGAAGAAAATATCCCCCCAGAAAAAAACTTGTACTTCCAATAATTGCTGCATGACAGCTTTCTTGAACAATACTGTTGCTTACCTAGAGTCATTGAATGGACAGACCTATGCATGCAACAGGTGCATTTCCAGTGGTGGCAGAACTTGGCCAAAAGTGGATCTCTATTTTACCCAATTCAGTGTGAGAATATCCCAATGGATGGAATGCTCATATCTCATAATGAGCAGCTCATATCTTGATTTATTGAAACATATCTTCATTTACTGAAAACCTCTTCAGATGATTTTTGGATAAACAAATTTTAAGTGCATTTGCTGTATATAAACCTTACAATCGCAAACGTGCACGCTCAACTCAAGTTTAGAAATGCAGCCCTTTGGTGTGGGAAGCAGTGAAAAACAGCACCATACTGTGTGGACAATTTTCTTAGGCACATTACAGTAAGTACAGTGATTTTCCCTATTTACTGTCCTCTGTTCCACTTAGCTTTTGATAGCCTAGCTCTAAAAGCTTTTGATATATACAACCTAATGTAAGTTGTCAGAATATTCAAAATTGCACAATGTAGTCAAGAAGAATAAAATTTACACAAGAAGATGAAAAAATGCTTACCCTACAAAAATGTTTCAATCTATGGAACTTCCGCAATATAACGTGCAAATTTTCCATACATAAAGGAAAATTCTTGCTTTCAGTATTTAGGCATTCCTCTAGAATTACATGTTTATTTAATAGAACTAAGGTTGGAATATTAATACAGGAGTAAAACCATGCCTGAAACATAATATAAAAATACACAAACTATTGGAAAACGTAATTCACATCAGCAACCGACAAAGAAAGTAATTACATTTGAATACATTTTTATTCATTTTAATGATATACCTTTTAAACAAAACAATTTTGAATAAAAGATAAAAACTGATTTCATGAAACTTTTCTTGAACATACAAAAAATAAATAAAATAAAATTGAACAAATCATTTTAAACAATTTAATATGCTAACTTCCAGGTTTTTGAAGGTACTCCTTGGCTTTAGATCAAAAGTATGAGAACAGCTGTGTACTTTATTCCCCTTTTAAATAAAACTTCACTGTTAAAATAAGAATTATGAATCTATTTTCTGCTGAGATTACAGCTACCAAGCACTCTTAAGAAGTTTAACACAAAAGCTGAAATGCTAGCTGGAACTTCCATCAGTTTTTCTAAATGGTTAATCTTTCCAACATAAATGGAAATCAGAGCATAGTCCACATTTATCATTCCAATTCGCCCCAAAGAGTTCTACAGAATAGCTATTTCATCTAAATTCATGTAATCAAACCAGCACTTTAAGACAGGTGCATGACCATGCAATAAAAATGAAACTTTAGGTTGGAGTACTAAATAGCAATTCTCGAAAACTAATAAATTTACATATCTTAGGAGTATCTTCATGTCAGATTCCATTCAAACTATCTTAAGTGACATTTGAAATTGACAAGCTTAAAAATAGATTACATGCAGCTGCTCAGTAATGAAAATTGAGCATATGATGAACTCTTGAGCTCATCAGGAATTATTATGGTCTTAATATAATATCTGGATTCATTCTGCAACTTCTCGCAGTTAACAACAGACAACTGCAATTCACTATTCTCTTCAGCAAACACAGTCAAAGAGGTTGCAATTTTATTTTAGTAACTTCTAGGCACTTTCATTTCATTTACAAATAAAAGAACACATCGCTTAAAAAAATTAAAAATAGATTTCTTCCAATTATTTCACCATATTCAAAATCATTAAGCTTTCTATACATTTATGCTAGAAAGTCAGTTTTGCAAATTCACCAATTTGGCACACAAATATGGGTAAATTCATTATTTAGAAAACGCATACTTTTGATCACAGCACACATTTCTGTTTTGAAAAATCTGTTATTGCAAGAAAAATTCAAGGCACAAGAAGTTTGTACAATGTTTTTTCAAAATGATTAAAATATTCACATACAGCTGAGCATTCGTCTTTGTTTAGAAACTGTATTCCCTAGTTTCTGCCATACTTTTCAGTAACAACATTGCTTTGCAACTTGAAAACTAAAGAAAATTCAGATTCTTTTTGGAATACTTTATTACTGCATACTTATAATGGTTAAAACTGTTTCAACAAAACATTAACAGATAAATTTTATTGCTGGAAATACACAAGATATTAGCTCTTTGCCGATGGGAAGTGAGTTTTGTTTAAGATACTATGCAAACAGAAACTACCACAATATCACTGTAAAGCAGAGGTTCTCAGCTGGGGGAAGGGGAATTTGGTCAGCCATTTACTTATCTGATAAGTATTTAGTTTTAGTTATGAATATAAAAAACTACTTTTATTCAAGTTTTGGTATTTATTAATATTTTCTACACTGTTTCTAGTTTAATTTATAAAACACATTACAAATTAATCTAAATTGAAATAAATGTATATGTATTTTTCAAGTTGAAAAGAGGGGGCAATGATAGTCTAGCAATGGTGAAAGGGATGCATGGGACAAAAAAGGGCTCTAGATGGGAGAAATTTATTGCTAAACCTAATTTAAAATAATGTTTCAATAATCATGGTTTTGAAATGTTACACAATTGTTATATATGCAATTGTTATATATATACACATATTGCAGTATAATGTGTGCAATAAAATTCAAGTGATAATAGCCTTTATAAGCCCTCTTCACCTACTTTGTCCTTCAATTCACAAAGATCATAAATCTTCACCATGTATTGAGCTTTCATTGCTGTGACTCTTCTGGAAAAAAATTATTTTCTCTTTCCTGACAAATATATATATTTTTTCCTTATACTTACCTTCAATCTGATGTATCCATTCTCATATCTAACAGGTGAGAAACATTTTCTTTAAAAATTAATGACTAAAGAAATTTTAAAAAATTAAATATAAATACAATATACAATAAAAATAAACATTTTCTGAATAAACAAGAAATAAAAAGTTGCATATCCGATGCAGTGGACAAGAAGTACTATCATTAAAGTGCAAATGTTGTACATGGAAACATTTACATGGCACCTGTTTTCTAATAAAAAATTTGAATTTGCACTTGTCATAAATGCATGATGATCACAAAGGATTATATTATACTGCACACTTTAAATATTAAGAAAGGTATTAAATAGTAGGAAGTTTTTAAACAGTAATTGGAGATTTGTTGCTTCAAAAAAGAGCTTTTAAACTATAATCCTACTTTGAAAATTTGGCCAGTTTTTCAAGGAAACATACAGAACTATACAAATGTTTGCTAATGAAAGGGCTAATGTCAAAGCAGGAAATAAAATTCCAATAGCTTACAATATGGCATAACAATCAACAAGGGGAAAAAAATTAAGCAGCAGGAACAGTTTAAAGAAAATACTTCTGTTTAAGCAATTACCATGGAAGAGAAACTTTATTATTGGAAATTCTAAAAGGTTAAGAGTGTATGCATGTAGAAATTAGGCAAAGAACTTACGTTATTAAACAAGAATATCATGCACTTGTAAAGGCAACATCCCCTAATGAAAAATGAAACAAATTCTGCACTCATAATTCTTTCAATGCCAAATGAACTACTGGTGCCAATCATTCCCATAATGTAACAAAACTGAAGCTACTTGAACTTTTTATTTAATATCTGAAAGTGAAGATCACGTTTTGGAAAAATGTGTTATGCCGCCAGAAGAAAGAAAGAAGAGTTTAAAAGATTCCAATGATCACTTTCTTTATTTTGAAAGGAACCACAGAATAAAAAATCCCTTCTCAATCCAAATACTCAAAATGTAATACTAAGTAACATACACTGCTGCCCAAAGATAAGAAAAAGTTTAATAAGGAAGAAATTAAGAATAATTCTAACACTGTAACCACAAAAATTTCTTCTAGATATTTTAGAGTGAATCAAGAAGCTAGGGGATTAATCGATGACTTGCCGACCATTAAACTTATTTATGGTAAATTAATCAACACAGTAGCAGATACAGGCATGCAATTAACTGTTATTAAGGCTGATACTGTACCAAAAGAATACCATATGCCATATGGAACTGTTATTCTCATGGTAGCATTTGGACAATCTTTAAAAGCTCCTCTCAATAATTTACCTCTACGGAAGCATTCTGAAGATGGTAAATTTAAGTCACCTATTTTTATAACATGTGCAATGGTTGATACGTTATGTAATGATTTACTTTTGTCATTCAGTGCTTTAATGAGTTAAATGAAAGTTTAATTTTGAATGCAAAAATGTAACATTACTGATGATAGCTTGGTTGAAATGCCATTTTATGAAACTGAAAATTTAGACAAAATATTTAACCATGATATGGAAAACTTTATTAATGGAAAATGTAATGAAACTGTTAAGATAACAGTAGAATATTGTGTTATGCTACATGCAAAGATAGGTAAGAATGATTCTAAAGAAAGTATGAGACACAATCATAATGTGTTGGATTCATAACTGTATTTATTGGGTTCAACCAATGAGTGATTCCTCCTTAAAAAACATGCGGCCAAGTTCCAAAGAATGGAAGTAATAATTTTATTGTTATTGACAACTTTTTGTATCATAAAGATAAGATTTTAGTAGAAAGAGTTCACCAGTTAGTTGTTCCTAATGAAAGATGAAAACAAATTTTGGACTTAGCTCATTCTAGCTTATGGGGAGATCACCTGAGGGTCAAGAAGACTGCCGAGCAATTGAGATATTCCTTCCCTTGATCTAAAATTAAGAGATGTGAATAAATATTGTAACACTTGTACTTCTTGTCAACTTCAAGCTAAAAAGCTTCCTTTTGAAGAAGGTACTAATATGCCATCGACAAGTTCTGAAAAAACCATTCTAGATAATTAATGTGGATATCCTGATATCCTCGTACCTGTGGAACCAAATCGTCAAGGTTATAAGTTCTGCGTGCTCTTGACCAATGTATGAGATGGCCAGAAGCAGTGCCAGAAGAATCTTAATGCAAAATCAACATGTGATGTGTTGTTGCAGATCTACATGCCCTGGATCTACATGCCCTGAATTCCTTTAACTGTAACAGACCAAGGAACTAACTTAACTGCTTTGTTGACTCAAGAGTTTTTGAAAAGAATTGGATCTTTACCACAGTTTTTGACTTATTACCATCCAAGTTCAAACAGCCTTGCAGAATGTTTTAAAGCTGTTATAAAGAGAATGGTACATCATGCCATCAAACTAAAGCCTGAAAGTGTACCAAAGAAGCAGAAGCCATACCTAGTACCAATGTTTAAAAAAAAAAAGTTGATTGACAAACAGCTATTATAGCTAAGACTAATTGTTGAAAAAGAAAGTGAATATACACATCCAGTAGTTTGTGTGTTGAAAAAAAATAGAACTGTAAGATTATCTGTGGATTAAAAGAATATGCTGAGTGTAATATTGATGATGTGATTTAATGGTGTGATTATAGTTTTCAGTGACTGAAACATGACTGAAAGTCGATAATTTAAAAAATGTTATGAACATTTTGACTATTTCGTTTGAACATGTTTTTAAGACCTAAAATGCTAGACAAATTTCTGATATGACGGAATAAGCTTAATAGTTAACCATGGTTTCTCAAATTATAATATTTAATGTTAATGACTGATTTGTATTGTTTTGTTGACATAATTACTGTTTATATGATAATGTTAAAGATTTAGGTTTAAAGAAAAGTTGTTATGTTATATTAAAATGTTACATCTTTTAATGATTAAAATTATTGAATTTAGGTTGAAATAAATTTAATTCAAATGAGTAAGAATTGATTAATTTTGAAAATTTCATGAATATAATTTTTGCTGTTGTTTGAAGAAATAGTTACATGTAAATTTGACAGGTCATTGAAAAACACAATTAAATCTTTTAGAGGGGAGGTGTGATGATTTGACTATGCACACGCACTTTAGCTGAACAGTGCACATATTCGCCTCTCTCTCGCGTGACAGAGTCGAGAATATAACAATAACAGATGTTACACGTTGTACGCCAGTGGAATGTTAGGAATATTATGTTACTATATGTACATTATATTTGTTTTGCACGTATTATAATAAAGTGCTCGTCCTAATCATATGTATGGTATATGAAAATGCTCACATCAAGTCCATGTTAAATATATCTTAAATTCACCTCATTATGGATATACAATACCCTACCTCCCCTCCAAAAAATCCCAGGTGTATTCTGAATTCGTTGACATTAGCTAGACAGAATCAATCAGAAAAGGGACTTTTTCTAGAACAGGAGTTCATAAATAAATTTGTTGTTTTAATATGAGCTATACAGAAACACCATGTAACTATATTTATACATACTAATCAATATCCCCCTTTTTTTTACAAAGGGGAAAAGGAGTTAAAAAAAGTTTCAATACCTTAATCTGTTGTTGCAAGTAATTTAGTCGTGGATCTTTCAATTCCTGCATGCAAAGAGAACTTCTCATTTGATTAACACCTTGCATTAAAATTTCTTCAAACAATGAGGCAAGAAGAACTTTTATTCCTTTTAGGGGCACAGAAATATAACCCAAATTAAGAGGATAAGAACGTTCTCTCACAAATTTTAAGGCTGATGTAAATGGCACTAAAATTTTAAAAAAATCCAATATTACATTCCAGAAGAAAGTATAATATAGCATTGAAAAACAGTTTGAAAGATCACTTTTCACAAATAAAACCACAACTAATAATACAGTACAAAGTCTGAAATCCGAACTCGTCGAGAATTCGGCAATTCCAGATTTGGGATTTTTCCTGATAACAGATCATCAGTTTAAATCTAGTAAGATGGCATGTAGAAATTATAAAATTAAAAATATGAAATCGCGATTTATGAAATAATGAAGTACTTATGATCTAAAGAGTATCAAAATTTACAAAAAAAAAAAAAAAAAAAAAAAAAAAAAAAAAAGCTTAATATTTATTTTACTTTATTAAACATTTCTTTCAATGTAAGTTAAGTTACTTTGTTTTTTGTGCTAATACTTTCTCTTTAATTCTGTAGACAGAGATAATCTCTTGTTTAGTTACATTGTTGAAGTCCTGTAACTGTTGCTTTGAGAACTCCGACTAACTTTTCAATCGAAATTTTCTCGTTTTCAGTAACTTCTCTGTCACTTTCTTCACTATTGGTAGGAGTATTTTCTGGATCTAGAACCATACTACAGATTTCTCCATTCATGAATTGATTGATGATTGAGAAGCATTGTCATCACAATGAAAAACTTCTTTTATATCATCTTCATTTATTACCTTTTCTCCACATTTCTTTACAAAATCCGTTAGCTGGAAAATTTCACATTTGTTTTTGCGATATCTGAAAACCTTTAAAATTTGCGGCTATCATAATCAAATTTAGCTATCATTCACTATACATATTTGGCTATGCATCATGAGCTTGGTGACTAACGATAAGTTGTTCCATTAAATTTTATCTTGCTTCAATCGCGCACTGAGACAATTAAGCCTGAATTGTATTAGTTTAGTTATTTATTACACTTATGTCTATTTCTTGCACATGCTTAAGGCTTATCAGATAAATAAATTCCCACATATACTTAAAACTTTTTGAGAGCTGGCGCTAGATATCTTATCGCCTGATGCAGTCTCTGTGGGTCCTAAATTTTGCTACTCGGCGCGGCCATACGAGTCCTGCCGCTGGTTCTGGGTTTATGCGAATAACAAATCAGTTATTCTTAATTCAAATAGCCCTAAATGTAATCTTTGGGTCAATGAGTATCATTGAGAAAATCTATTTTTAGCATATGAAAAGAAATTTTTGGTAAACTTTCTCGCCAACATTTTTAGCGCAACTGAAATCTGTAATCATCAGCAAGTGTAATGTCAGCATAAAAGGTTATCACACTCCTTTATTATTCAAATTCTAACATAAAAAAAAAAATGTTTAGGTATTGCTACATGAATCATTACTCAAGTTGTCATGTTTTGATAAACATGCGGCAATGAAAGGAAAGTATAATAAACAATGATTCGCCAGGTTGGCGTCAAATCAACGATGTATCTATGTGCAATGGTTCGGTTTGAGATGCATGCCAAGCAAATACACAGCAACGGAGCCAAATTACTGATCGTACAAATTTATGCTAAATTGATTGTTTCTTCAGTAACAAGGTATTTTATTTAGTGTGAAAGTGAAATTAAGAATCGTGACTTTTCAGATGTTTTATTATGCGCAGAAGAGGAAATCAAATGTGTATGCATAAAGCTTACGAGAAAAATTTTGTTGTTGGTTTTGAGGTCCGGATTTTAGATTATTCCATATAATGGACATCTGGATTTCGGACTTTGTACTGTACATATCTTATCATAATATCACTCATTAAATTTTTCATAAGAACAATGCATATTTTTTATAAACATGGAAAACTGAACAACGTTTCATTGAAATTAGATAACAGAAAAAATGTACTATACAAATGCATTAAAAATTTCAAAAAATAGCAGCAAAATGTACAAAGCAATAGCTTAATTAATAGTACCTATTAATTATTACTAACAGTGCAAAATTATAACAGACCTAACTAGTGAATTAATTTCTGAGCCTATTATTTCACTAATACTAGCTAAAATTGTTAAAAAAACATATTTTTCTGAAATTTTTCTAAAATGGGCTACATGACCAGTAAACTTAGTGACAAACTTATTTACACAGAAATTTGCTACTACTGAACATCAATCATACACAAAAACAACACTTTCTGCTCTTGGTCACAAGTGCATGCTATTTGAAAATAAGATTTATCATTGTTAGTTCATAGTGATAAGTGGTTCAAGTTCACGAGAAAATTTGTGCAAATAGAGGTGTCATTATCTCTGATTTTTTGTCGATGTTTTCTGAAGTTTCGTGTACAATTCAGCAAGAAACTGTTATTGAACTCTTTGATTACCAAAAAGTATATGCGTGGTGGGTACAGAAGAGCATAAAGGCAAGTGTTTTGCCGCTGCTTTGACCTTTCTGAGAAAGTACTCTAACAAGAGGAATGGATTGTTCAACTCCATTGTCACTGGTGATGAGACTTGGACTTTCCATAGAGAAGCAACAATCAAAAGAATGGTAGCACTGGTCATGCCGACCTGGCAGAAGTTCAAATGGACCATCTCCACATGCAAAATCATGCACACTATTTTACGACACAGAAAAAGGTGTCAAATTGATGGATTTCACACCCAGAGACAAAACTGTCAATACTGCTTGCTGCTTATGGTGCAACACCAGAAAACCTGCAACGTCATTCAAAGCAAGAGATGTGCCTTACATAGTGATGGATCATTTTATTGCATGACAATTCTGGGCCACATTCTGCTCATGTGTCTCACGATCTCATTGAGTCCTTTGGTTGGGAACAAAAAAGTCATCCACCATATAGCCCTAACTTACGCCAAGTGACTTTTACCTATTTTTGCACTTGAAGTAATTCCTGGGTGGCCAGTGTTTTGATGAAGAAGTGAAAGATGGCATAACTTCCTGGTTAACCTCACAGATAGCTACCTCATATGATGCTGCCATACAAAACCTTGTTTCTCGACATGATAAACGCCTTGATGTGGCGGTGACTGCATCGAAAAAACTGTGATGTGTGTAAATCATTATTAAATATTTATCTTTGACTACTCACTCCGTTTTCATTTACACAGTAAGTGAAATTATTTTCCAAACAACTCTCATATATTTAGTTGGCAGTTACACTCATAATACATTAATAGGTAGCAGTTCATTGCTGTCTGTTACTTTCTTCTGTTACATAAATTGCTGTCTGTTATTTTCTTCTGTTACATAAATTGCTGTCTGTTACATAAATCATTCAAAGTGAAATATCACTTTGAATGATTTATGTTTGCTACAAGATCTACAAGAAAATTTATTCAAACATAAGTTTTCTAGTATTCACAACCCTTCAGGTAGTATATTTTACTTTCAAATTAAATTTTTATGTAACTTCAGATTATAGATAACTTATGCATTCTAAAATCAATCGCTTGTTAATTATTTAAATAAAAAAAAGAATAATTTCTTATGCCTAAAAAAGAGGCACAAGTACACCTGCTTATGCATGCTTGCTATCAAAACATAGAAAACCCAACCGGTATAGTGGTTAGCATTGGGACTGCAGTGCTGAAGGGCCTCGGATGCTTTTAAATGTATAGCATCAGTGTGGTACTCTAAATAGTCGGCGAGCCAAAAGACCTCTCGTGTCGTTTGGTGGAAGGGGACAGGAGTGATTCTCCGACATGTTCCCCTGGGGTGCTCTCCATCAAAATTGGAGGCAGACCTGAGCTAAACCGCACTATCACCTGTAAGGTGCTCAAGGCTGTTGCCAATGACAGGTGCAATCTTGCACTCCTTAGCATGAAGAATTTCGTGAGCTTGGTCTGACTACGTCAGACATGTCGGCATAAGTAACAACAACATAAAAAACTGCATTCATAAATGAAAACTAATTGTTGTTATATTATAATTACCTTTGAAATGTCCATATTTGTTTTCAAGAGCAAAATTAAGACTTTCTGTAACAACAATTAAAGACTTTAACACAGACTTATAAGCAGTTATAATATGCTGGCTATTCTGAAGAATATATCTACTTTGCTTAGAAGCATTGCAGAGGATTTGCTTTATTTTACACAGATCATAAAACTGTAAACGATATGCAAAAAATTCTGTTTCACTTTGTATGAAAAATGTTTGCATCTCGAAATCAGATGCGCATAGGAACCTGAAAAAGAAAACTTAAAGATTAGATTTATGATTTGTAATGCATTGTCTTCATTGCATGTATTTAATTTTTAATTAACATCTGTTCTGAAAGAAAGATAACATTTCAGATAGATATTCCAAAAAATTAAACAATTACTTAAATGAAAATATTACAGACACATTGATTTAAACTACAAAACAATTATCAAAAGTAAACAATACTTTTTGTAGATTTCAGGGAAAAGGCAAAAATTATTTTTCCTCACAATATAAACATCAGGGATACTTACGAAATGTGACATCTGCATTTTCTAATCTCACTGCAATAATGTAACATTAATATTTCCCAACAGAATAATTTTATTAGCCACATGCAAGTTATTTAATTTTGTAACAGTCATACAAAATTCATAAAAAATTAAATGCTTTAAGTATATATTTTATTTTATGATCTGTTGTTAACACAGCTGTTATTACTTTTGCAATAAACATAAGGGTTATTTTTATGACAATTCATCATCAAGCTAGATCCACTGAATGAGTGTTACATCATCAGAACTAAATATTTTTTAAGACCATGAAATAAAGTCTCCAGATTAACTAGTCTTCAGATTCTTTTCAGTACTCATCAGTGACTGTAGAGTTCACCAAGTCCCAGCTCAAATAATAGATTGAGGAAAACAAAGTCCTTGTAACCAAGCCCAACTTTAAAAATATGAAGGCAAAAAGGTTATAAAATTATGGTTTGTTACTCAAATATATTCCTTTTATCTGCTTTTGTAGTGTTGTGGTTAGCATAGCAGTCTGTCAATACAATTCAATTACAACTGAGAGCATAGTGAATTTTTAAAAAATTCCATTCCAAAACTTCTATTATTCTGAGAATTTTATAAAAATTGAATTCCAACAAAGCTGTAAATGTTCATAAAAAATTATCAGTTATACAGATTACAAATTAAGTGTAATATTTCAGTTTGTATTATCTATATATATTACAAAAAGTAAAATAAAGATTTGAACTATTTAGAAGAGCATTTCTTGTTTTTAAGTCATTCAACTTGCTAACCAATAATAATAATGAAAGATAAAGATCTTTAACTTTAATTAATGGCAATACTGAGAACTTTTTACATGGGTTGTTCTAAATTTCAGAAGTGTAACTAAAGGACTCAGCTATTATTTTATTACAATTAATCTAGAGCTATAATTTCAATTAGACCAGGCCTCACTTTTTCTCAGGCTATGAATTCTTCTATTAAATACAATAGTCTTAACAAAACTAAGAAACCATAACAAGTACTAGCTGTGGTGGTTCTGTTACCCCTCTGCTATTTGATATAGAAAAGAAAAATTTAACTGATATTCCTGTTAACTAGTAAAAGAGTTCACAGACTTCCCTCAGAGAAAATCACAATGTATTTATCCATAACAAACTAACACGTATGAAAACCATTAAAAAAAAAGACACACTCAAAATATTTAATGAGGTTATTGAAAAATTGCATGTGTACTTTAAAATTATAAATCATGACTGCAAAAATGATATTTGACTAAATTATGCACTTATAATGAATTTATTGATAACTATTTAATAGGCTTTCCCTTAATTTTATTTTGGTCTGCCTTTACATCTCTAAGATCCTCATACATCTCTCTATTCCCTCTCCACCAATGACAATACTGTATCAACTTGCATTTTTTTTCTACAGCAGTCTCTTAAATTCAGCAAGTAACCAGGACTTGCTCCAATATTTTCATTACCCCAGGCAATCAGTACAATGTGTGCCCTGTATAAATTAAATATATTAGTAATTTAGAGCAAAATGTAGTTTAATTTAGATCTCGCTTATGAGAAAAACTTAGCTGGGGCCCTAGACAACTGTCTCTGTTGCCATGTGCTTACAGCTGGATTCGAATTCTTTTCTGTTACACCAACTGCCCAGCAGTCTGTCATAGTTTCACAGCTACCCATACAGCCACTCTCTGGTAGACACTAACTCCCAAAGTTGGAATCAATTTTTCCATGTGTCACTTAGATGACAAAGCAATACAAAATCTGATCACATACAATAAAAGCCAGATTATTTAGCATTCAACTAATCAGAATACTTTTGAATTTTAAAAACTTTCTTTTTAATGTAAATTAAGCAATTAAGAGATTTGTAACTCTGTTATAAAGGACAAATAGGACTATGATTCGATTGGTTTGGTTTAGTTGATTATGGCAAAGCAAACTAGACTATCTATCTAAGGGGAAGGGTGCCTTTGTGGGGGACTCTCTAAGTGAAATGACCATGCAGCCAGCCTGTACGCCTGAAGTGGAACTCAGGTCAGAACTACCACTGTTCAGCAATTTTATTGCTTGGCCACTGGTGGACAGAATACGATTCGAATCAAACAAAAACTGGGCTAATCTTTGGAATATGGTAACAGGTAGTTTGGCGACATTTTGGTAAGGAGATAAAAGTTACTAGCTAGGACTTTAGCAGTGTACATGGATTAAGTCAAGAGTGTGCACAATGCCATTTTTGTGCAATTCTGGGATGTATTTTTAAGTGAAAATAGGTCGACGTGTACATGGATGATACCGTCCGTGTATGTGCAATTCTTAAAAACACGGCAAGCAGTTTGCGATTCTACACTTTCTCCCAATTTCGCACCTAATCTTTGTCATGATTAAGCATTTTTGTTCCATAAAAGTTCTAGTATAAGCGAAATTCGGCTAGCAGATTGTTGGAAAAAATGTCGAGTAAAAAAAAATGCCACGGTATAAGCGTAATTTGGCTAGCAGATTGTTGGAAAAAAATGTCGAGTTAAAAAAAAAAAAAAAAAAAAAAAAAAAAATGCCTTTACTTCGTGAAAACAAAATGGTGTCCAAAACAAAACTAGCAGGTTGCTGTAGCAGGGTTAGTTGCCAAAAAATCGCCAAGTTACCATAATCCAAAGATTAACCAAAAACTGCTGCCAAATAGTGTGTTTTAGTGATAATAATGGATTAACTGCTACATAAGTCTTTGGTTTTTATGTAAACTCAATTTTCAATAAGCTGGTTTATCTTTTGTAAAACTCAATGTAAATTAACTGTTGTTTATACAGTCAAAAGTCGTTAATTCGGACATCAAAACTAAAAACTTTCTGCGCATGCGCCACGTTGACACATGCGCAGAGGCGTTCATGCGTGCGCGTAAGACCTTTTACGACTGCGCATATGAGTGTGCGCAAGTGCAGAATACGTTTTCGCGTGCGCATTTTATGTATAATGGACGTATAAGCTAAAATTATCTAATTATCTATTTCAGTTAATGTTGATGATTGCGTTGTTCCTTAATTTTCGAATTGCATCCGGCTTATTATTTTTTGCAGACTGTAAGAGCAATTTTATAAAAGTAAGCTTAAACTTTCGATTATATCAAATAGAATTTCCAATATATATTTGTTAATATGTAAAGGATCTAAAGCGAAAGTATGTTTTGAAATCCGAAATCTGTTTATCAATTTCACCCTGCTCGGCGGCGGGCGCCTAATGAATTGGAAGTTGATTTGTCAGCACTATCCTTATCTCAGCGCAGATGTTTTTATTTTATTTGGCTTATATTCCTTACCAAATGTAGTATTTCATCTCGATATGCTCCGTCTTTGATATGATTTAAAACAAGTTCCTCGTCATTATAATTCGCTTCCGATAGCGAAGAAAAGTGACAGAGGTTATTGAAAACAAAAAAATTTCGATTGACAAATTAGTCGGTGTTCTTGACACAGCAATTATAGGACTTGAACGGCGGAACTTTGTAACTGAACAAGAAATTATGTCTGTTTAATAGAATTAAAGAGAAAGTATTATCACATGAAACGAAGCAAAACTTAAACAACTTACATTGAAAGAGATGTTTAATAAAGTAAACAAATAAATATTAAGCTTTTTCTTTTTGCAAATTTTGATACCCTTTAGATCATAATTGTTCTTTATTTCATAAATTACAGTTTCATATTTTTAATTTTAGAATTTCTGCATGCCATCTTACGAGATTTAAACTGATAATCTATAATCCGGAAAAATCGATAATCCGGAATCGCCGAAGTCCCGACGAGTCCGGATTAACGACTTTTGACTGTATACATTTCAACTGCATTTTGAAAAAAATTACTAAAATTTGGGACTTGTCTTCAATAGGGTAGCAAGCTGTATTTAAAATTTAGGAATCCTGACATCAAGAAAAGTGTGAATTATTTGACAGTGGATAAACAGTGGCTGCACTGCATGCAAACGTTATTACAAGCTATTTAAGCTTTTTATACATTATATAACTTCTACATGTTGATTAACTAAATAAAGAGTGATCAGTTCTTTCAAACTTCTGCCAGAATAACTCGTGCAAACTTGGTAAGATTGCTGGCAATTCTCAATAGAATTTCATAATTGAATATGATGTTTTACTTCAGTATTTATGTCTGAAATGCCCTTTTTGCTTTTGACATCTCATATAATTTAAATGTAGGTGTTTGATATTTCAGCTGATAACAAATAAAATTTAATAATTTTAGAATGGATATTTTTTTTTGCCATTCATCTGACTTTTCTACCATGAATTGCATTTTTTATATACTCCATTATCTGGAATTCAGCATTTCCTGATCTTTCCACGTAGTCGAGAATTTACGTCTATGCTGTTAGTGTAAATGTTAACTGATGTTTCATGTTGCTCCTAAAGCTATCCATTATTTTGTTAAAACATAATTTTACCAGTGACAGCAATATTCTTCTGAAGTCAGATAACTTTACAAGGGAAAACAATATTCCTTTGAAATGTTCAAAAATAAAACAGTAAATTACTTTAGATGAATTATTATTATTCTAAATGAAGGTCAGGTGCTTTGGAAGGTAGAATGTCATCAAGGGGCTTTAAAATTTTACAAAGATTAAGTGATCCAGTGTGTCTATATATCAGTGTAATCAGATATTATAGCATTTTCTTAGGGACTTCATTATTTAAATAGTAGCAAAATTTACGATGATCTGCCAATGCATGCTGCAATAAACCTTCCTAGCGGCTGGCTGTCTTAACCATAGTCTCTTACATTTCATAAAAAAAGAAAAGGGGGTAAAAATAACACCTAGTAGATCACATGCTTTTGTTGTATTTCCATCTTTTTCCAACAAATGTTAACAACCTTTCATTTCCTAAGGAGTGAGGAAAATGCACCATCACTTTTCCACGAAAGACATTTTATCTCGATTTCAAATATATGAAAATGGTCATGAAATAACGAGGACTAATTATGAAGAAGTAATATTCTAGGTAACTGTCAAGGAAGCACTGTAGTTATTACACATAAATACAACATATCATACAGCAGCAGTATGATGCTTTAATTAAGACAAATGAAGAGAGATAACAAAAGATGATCTTTAGCATTAAAAATCGAAACAAAAAATTACACAATGACAAATCTGAATAAACCAAAGTCATTTTCTTCACTTCTAATTATACACAAATTAAATATATATACTGTTAATAATTAAAAGGAGTGAGAAAGCACCACTGCAAACTTATTTTATTAGATCACTATACTGATATAGTTATCTGATATTAACAACATCCAAAATAAAAATGATAAACCGAAAGGAATAAAAAATTGTAATTCAACTATTCTTCACAATACCTCAAGAAAGTATTTAGATGGTATATTATTCAATAGTCCCATTGCAGTAGTCAAGTCAAAGATGTACAAGAAATGAGGCCAAAACTATATAACATGTAGTTTTTAACTTAATTTCCTATACTGAACAAATTACAAAGTGAATACAGAAAAAATATTTCTGAATCAAACAGCTATAAATGTGCAGGAACAATTTTCTGGCTTACAATACAGAAAAAATATAGAGACAATCATTGTTCTTCTTAAGATACTGCATACATAAATAATACAATTATGAAAATATGATTTTTAAGGTATTTCACAAAAATGATGGGAACATTTGGATTTCCGCAAATAATGTAAAAAATTTTAAGGTATTAAACTAAAAGCATAAAATGAGGATTTATTTGAAGTATATGCTTATTAAGTTTTCTTTCTATATTAAGTATTTTTCTCAAAAGTAAAATATTAAACTTACAAATTAACATTTTGTCTATCAGATGTGAAAAAATTGTCATAAAAATAAAGGGATGTTCATTATTCCAATACAAATTTTAAATACATTGTTAATACCTTATAGTATTATTATCAGCCGTCAGAAATACGGGTTTAATTCTTTTGGCATATTCCTAGCTTAAATTTCTGTACTTTAGCTACATTTTTTTTTCAAGATATGTTTGATATTGTTTAAAATCTAGATATTAAGGTATTATAATATCAAAAACATTAAACAGGAACCAGAACCACTAATTCACAGCAATAAGTTTAGGTTCATTATCTTGACAGAATTATTATGTAGGTTAAGGCTTTGTGATAATAATTTAAAATTTTACTTTATGCCCATGTGTTTATACCGATCCATTACAACATCAAGAAACTTAAGATTATGATTTCAAAAAGTAACACATGCACATATATCATAACTTCTCCTCTAACATTTTTTGCTGTATTTAACTCATATTTGGCTCCTCTGCATACTAAAACTTGACAGAAGATATTACATAACTTTTTTCATTTAATATTTCCTCATTCCAGTATTAAGAATGATTTTATCTCATAAATCTAAAAGAGAAAGTTGAAGGTTTTTATTTTTGCTCTCGTGCAGAATTTTTAACTTTTAACAGTTGGTCATTATACTTAGCATACATATTATTTTAAGGATCCTGTTCAGTGTTTAGGAACATTAAGTCTTAAATTATTTTAGATAATATTGCATTGCATTCCCCCAGGACATCTAAGATGGTGTTATAAGTCTTCTTTAATTTTGAATTCTGTCATATTTTGAATATTTTACTTTGTTAGAAACTGTTAATACTTTAAAATAAATGAATTCCAAGAACTTTTCCAATAGATTTTGTATTTTCCTAGTCAGAAAATCAGAAAAACTGCAGAATTTCTAATTCCATACACTTTCTTGCATAATTCATGGTAATAAAATGTTAAAATAATACAAGTTTAAGAAAACTTAATTGAAGAGTTCTAGGAAAGCGTTTTTGAGATAAGCCTCTTGTATTTTAACGCACTGTCGTAAATACATATATTCTGAGAAATATTCCATCACTACTGTGACAAGTTTTTTTTTTTTTGCATTTAAGACAATATGGTGACTTTTAGTGACTTTTAAAACGATTATTTTATTTTTAGGAAAAAGTAAAGTCTTAAACAAACATTTAATTCAAAGAAAATCACATTTTATAATTTTGGTTAAATGCATTTAAATCTTTTGACAATATTTTCGAAATCCATAATCGTCTCTCACTTTTGTGAGACACTAGACAGAAGTAAAATAGGCGATTCTGTCATAAATACTGTGTCTCAAAACTATCGAAATTTAGCAGCAAAAACTCAAATGCTCCAGGACTAATTTTTGAAATAATCCAATTTCGAAATACTATTAAAATGATCAAAAAATATTATAATTATTATGAGGATGTTTAACTAATAGCTCAAAGGATAAAAAGTGTACAACCGAAGTAAGAAATGTGAAATTTTATCTTTTGCAGTTCCTTCAATAAGACATTCTGATGATTCAGTCAAATTTTCACATTCGATACCAATCCTTATTTCGTCATATGTTCTACCTCTAATAAACTGCAAGAACAGAAATCGCTTTTTAACAAATTCACATAATTTATGGAAAGAGACGTTTCCGATCGGCGGTTTGATGTAAAGCGCCATACGAAAGCCGTGTGTTGCCGAAAATATTTTAGTTTATTCATCTCGAATACGAGTTGGCCTTTTCGCTAGAATACCCAAGCGAAGAAGCAGCTTTACGTAAATCTGGTATTATTTGCTAACGGCAAATTCAAAAGAGAGACCAGAAGTCGAACGTGAAAATACAAACTACATGTGTATTCCATTTCATCTTGTATTACGAGTTTGGCTTTTACAGAAACAAGATTCTTGTAAGATAGCAAATAGCTAAGGGGTGAATTTAATTGCAACGCATTGGCAATTTGCTAAGTTTGAATAGCAAAAGGCGTTCCTACTATCATCTGGTAAACTGCAACCCAACCGGTATAATAGTTAGCTTTGCTGACTGTCGTTCCGAAGGGTCCGGGTTCGAATCTCGGAGAAGGCATGGATGTTTGTAAATGTTTAATAAAACGTTGTAAAAAGGTTTGTTGTTAATTTTAATATTAACCCTCACGGATTGGAGGAAACGGCATTCGCCAAAGTCCTCATCTTCTTTCTTCTTGCTTAAAAAGCAAGATTGATACAGATCTGGTAAATCGAATTTAACTGCTTTACCGGTTTGGCAACTGATGACGTCAAATCTGCAATGGGGAGCTAGTTTGCTTTCATGCCAGGAGAGCTTGTCCGATGAACTACATCGATGAGATACATTCCTCAAGAGAAAAAATGTGGCCACGTGGTTTAGGAACAACAACATCCGCATGTGCTATGTTTACAATGGAGTCGAGAGCAGATATTCCGCTGAAATTAATTGATTTTCGAATTTAGAAATTTATGGCTATTGCGAGAAATTAAAAAATACGCTTTGAAATTATTTCTCTTTCCTTGATGTCAACAAGAACGGTCTTTTGTTATTCAAGGAAAAACGTGTGAACAATATTTGCTTCAAAGTAATGCCGAATAGCATGGGACTTACAGCAAGCTGTGTTAAGGGGGAAATGAAGAAATCAATTAATTATGAAACATCAGTGCAAATTTCTGCAGAAAACGAGGTAAGATTTATAAATTTTTCTTATGCATGATGCTTACCAGTATTAATAATGTTTTCATTAAAAACATTAAGTGTATATCAGTTAACTGAAAACTATTCCTGAGACCTTGAATAATGTTTTCCAAACTTTTAAATGTAAGTGTCTTCTAAATTACTGAAATAGCCGAATTCGTGAAAGATCTGCTTATCTGCAAGAACATAAATACATAGCCAATTTTCTCTTATATTAATTAGTGTCACAGAATATTTTATGCAGCTAAAATTTCATTAATTTCATCGGGATATGTTTTAACATTTTAGCTGTTCTAATCCATTTTTAATGAATACACATACATATCGGAATGTTAAATTTTTTAATATCCTCCATTGTAGATATTAAGGATACCAACAGCTGTAATATTAAAAGCATCAATAATACTGAAACATTTTAATATAAAAGGATGCTTTTATATTAAAAGAATTTATACTTAATTCGAAATTTTCATGGGATATTGCTGAGTTTTTAGTTTAAATATTAAATTAGCGTGCATATTTAGGTCTTGAAAATCAGTGGTTGTGTCAGTCCATAGTTTGAGATAACATGTGCCTTAGGTATATGCATTAAAATTACTCTAGTCTATTTCCTATGGTATATCTTTTCAATAAATACACTTGAAAATCTCTTTGAGCTACATGATTTTAAAATAAAAAATTCTGCACATAAATTAGCAATTTACAAAAGTAAAATAACTTCAAATTTATTTTTTGAATATTTAAAATGTATACAGATAGTTTATTTATTATTATAAAATGAAGAAAAATGTATTATGAATAATTATTAGTTTCACAGCTAGTACTGCAGTGAACTCAGTTGCACAAATCTCTATATTTTTCTTTTTGACATTTATATTATAGTATACAAAATGTGTTAATTTGCAGTTTGTACTATCAATAGGATAATAGTCAGTGGCTAAAAATTAAATTTTAAGTTGTATAAGATTATATATTAATTTTGAACTGAGCAGATATTTGGCATCGTTATCCTTACATGATTTAAAGGACAACTATATTTACAGTGCTCCGGAAATTTGACTATTACGATTTTCACAAACCAACTATTTATATTTACTGTTAAAGCTGATAAAATTATGACTTAAAATATTTATAGTAATTTTCTTTTTAGCGTAGAAGAGCAATCTATGTAAACATGATTTTATGTATTCATTTTTACATTTTTTATAAATGAATCAGACGAAGGAAAGAATTCATAAATAAATATTAACAATCAAAACATGGTAGAGCAGCGAACAAAAGAGTATCATGAAGATAACAATAAGATATAAGAGTTACCAAAATGATACTAACCACATGAATGAACAGTTAATTAATGGATGAAATAATAATCAAAGATGAAATGCAAATTTCATAACTAATTAAAAATAAACAAAGTTTCCTAATTTTCAACACATCTACCACAGCACAAGCTTGTTTGTTTACATTAGCAGTTCTTAAATCACGTGACCTCCGACGTCACCGGAATGTATCCATGGACCTTGGATTTATATATTGTGCTGTTACATTATTACATGTGCTATATTAGCATAATCTTAGAGGCAATTCTGACCACGTGCAATGCAGGAAAAGGATTTTCCTTCATTGCATAAAAGGGATGCTACCGCCACTGTTCAGAATCGCGTGGCAGGTTAACTGTTGAAATGTGCAAATTCGCTGAAGGACTTTTGGATGATTGGACTGCACTTTTGGTTACTGAGACTCGTACTCTTGTTGATTATCTCGCTGATTTGAATCAGCAAAATTCAAGCTGCGGTTACAATTACGGAAATAACTACGGAAGAAAGAAGTTGGTGACGCATTAGTACCAGTGTTGCCAGAGAATTTTCAACTAAAGTAGCAAAAGCAGACTCGGAGATCATCATTCCTTAAGTGGTATTCGACCCGAAGGCCTTTACCACTACATGTTTATCATTCCCCTAAGGACCTGTAAAAGTTCGTTAAATTCTATAAAAATGGAAAAATTCTGTGCACTTATAATAAAAGTGCAAAGTCTTCAGTAGTGAAGAAATTGATCAGGCGTGGCGCCATCTATCGGCCACAAATGAAGTCTTCGTTGGATAAGCAATAATAGCAACTAATAACTTTGGCATATCTTTTCGCAATGGCATATCTTTTACACATTATCGTAGATTTGACACAGTATCGTACAGTAAAAATAGAAAATAATATATACAAGTCCCAGAAATTTTTGTGCTTTCGTCTGAGGCGAAAGTACCTATATCTTAATACTCATAGGGAAGTAGACTGTCACGTGATATAAAGTCAGTAGCCTTGGTACCGGGCAAGTCCATAAATAAGATGAAAATGAAGACTAAAAAAAATCCGCAAATGACGTCAGGGATCACGTGATTTTTGTGACGTCATAGTTATGCATTCTCACATGACATCTGACGTAATGACAAATTTACCGTCTATTGGTTCTATAAGTTAGTTACGGATTGCATTCGATTCTCAAGTCTTTTTAATTACGCATCTTAGCTTTAATGAAAATTTTAAAACTATATTTCTCATTTTCAACTTTTTAAATGTCCATTTCTTTTTTAGTTAATTCTCATTTAATTCAGGTTTATATTTTAAAATTAATTTGTGGATATCCATTCTTAAGTGATTCTTCGCCTTTAGACTGTTAGCGCTTTTTGTACCAAATTTTTAAAGTTGACAATTAATTTTTTAATTAACCCTCTCACTGCGTACTTTTTTTATCACAATAGGTTCAAAAATTGCGTATTTTGTTGTTACATATTTCAAATCTACATATATTTTAGAGTTAAAATATTGAAAAAATTTTTATAAAAGAGTTTTTTTTTTTCAATATAGAATTAAATCATAGAAAAAGGTTATCAGAATACTGAAAATGAAGAATAATGATATAAAAGGAAAATTTTGAAAATTAATATTCGTTAAATTATGGTTTATTTTATAAAATACAAAGGTAAAACATAGTATATACTAATGAAAATATTTTGCATATCAATTTTGCACCACTGTCGAACATTTTCAATAGAAACTGAATTTTCAGATTCATCACTATCTGCAGAGGAATCCGAGAAATTCTCATCAGTTTCGCTATAACTATATTCAATACTTGAAATCAGAGTCAGAACTACTCAGTTCGGAAATATCGTCAGGAATATAGGTTATATCCCTCGCGAAACGCTTCCTGCAAGACCTCTTTGAGCTCTGAAAAGCGCGCACAAAATGCTACTTTACGTATTCTTATATATTTGGCAGAAATGTGGACAATTAACGCCATCTGTTAGCCCACATCTAAATAAACAATTAAACATTACAGAAAAGCCGAAAGGAAACCTTGAGCGGGTTGCACAGTTAAATGGACGGCAAAAGTTCATCATCGCGGGTTGCGCAAATTTTGCTCCTTCTACGTTGCCCGTGGTTATCGCGAGATGCGCAGCGAGAGGGTTAATTAATTTTTTTGCTTAATTGTGAACCTTTTATTTGAAGAATGCTTTTTCAGTGAGTTTTCCGTTTTATGTGGTGAATCTGTTTCAGATTCTGATTACTTAAGAAAGGCCTTGTTCTTTCACTGCTAAATTTATTTCTATTGTTACTTAGAAAAATGCATTTGCTTTAAAATACCTCAATTATTAAGTCATTTCCATTGCTTAATTCTTAGCAATATTATAATCAGGAGTATGAATTTCATTTCTTTCTCTGTCTGAATACCCAATATATCGCGCGCAAGCGTGAAGTTCTGTGGTTCGATTCATTATCACCATACAACTGAATGGGGAGAACTGACTTAAAAACAAAACGCACGGGGAGGGCGAGGAAGGTCGGTAACAGGTCCCGAAGCATTTTTTTTCTTTTTTTCCACTTTTTTCACTTTCTTTACACTCTTTTCGCTATACCGGCGTCAAGCTGTGCAGTCTTGTAAAGGAAACCCCACATGTAAATCAAATTGCCAGATGCCAACTTT